AAAAATTACAACTCGATCGGACTTGTTTTGACAACGAAATTAGCCAATTACGAAATTTATATCTCACAACATGAACTTTGAGACAAAGAGTAGAGTGAGTGCAATAATGATGGCGTGAGAGGGAAAGTGGAAGCTTAGAGGGAGTGGCGCATGAATTTAGAGCAATAGAAGTGAAATTGAAGCAGCCTATGAAAGGCAAAATTCGATTACTTTAGCAGGCAGTCAACATCATAATATGTCGTTTTAAGCAACATTATTACCAAACAAATTTTAAATGCTTTAAGTATAAAAGGTGTTTTATATAATATGTCGCCAAACGCATAACTGCGCAACAGTTTTTAACAACTCTACTACTAAAAGCGCTTTCAGCATTCTAAATATCCCATATCAAACGAGCTCTAAATATCCCATATAAAAAATCATAAGGGCTAAAAGAGGACTTGAAAAATATTTACAAACTAGTAAAGAATTAGAATAGAACGTGATAATGACATTGATAACACAATATTAATTTTAAAATGTGACATATAAAACAATACAAGAAAATATACAATTTGCTACAAAATTGTTGCTACAATATAATAGAGTTCTTGTAGTAAAAAGATTAACTTTCTACTACAAAATTTATATTTGTCACTGATCTCAAAATTATGTCCTCAATACCTATAGCACGACGCGGTTTTGTTTACAAAAAGATCATATTGGACGAAACTTATCTTGTGGTATATGTTTTTTTTTAATACATATACATCCCCAATACCTATAAGCACGACGCCGTTTTAAGCCATGGCTTCGTTTCTTGACCTGTAATTGTCGCTATCTGATCATTCGAGCAAGTCACTCAATCTCTATTATTCTATGTCTCATAGGTAATGATCCACATATGTATTGTTATATATCTATATATATATATATATGGATATCTTTGATAATTATAGTGTATACATTTGCATATATGTATATCATATGTATATAGCTGTATAGAATAAATTAGATTTGTTTATTTGTTCAAGTTAATCTAAATAGAATATTGTCATAGGTCTTATTGGGTTTGATCTTAGTAATCAGTTTTACTTTTGATCCATACTCTAAATAGAATATGAGATTAATTGATTCTTAGAGCACTTAGAGAGCCATACTCTAACATAATGTAGTATATATCTACTGTTTATGCATTTTCCAATTCTACTACATACACGATTTGTCTTCAGAGCTGGTAAAAACATTCTGTTGCTGGCTTCTAAAATTTCACGGTTAATTTGTTTGCTTTTAGTTGATTATCTTTGGCTACTTTTTGTCTGTTTTGAACATATTTTGCTTTGTTCAATAATTTCTTTCTTCACGGATTTTCAGATTACATTGAAGCTTAATTTTGAAAGCATGTTTTGTGTGTTAATATATGTAGAAAGCAAAGAAGCAAAACTTGAGATATTTTATTCATCTAGAGAATAGCCTTTATATAGGCAATACAACCAGCTAACATAAAAGACACAACAACTATTACATGAAAAATAGGACCATGAAGCCATGTTCTACTAACATGCTCCACTACTGGGTTACAACCTTAAGAATAGGTAAAATAAAACTAACCCATAACAACTTGCTATAAACTAGGACAATCAAATACTTACGTAAGTAAATTATTTCCAACATTCCCTCCCTTAAACTGAAACTTTTCAGCATTCAGTTTAAAGAATATCAACTGTGAACTTCAATCTGAACCTTCAAAAATGCAGACCCCGAGCAACTCCCTTAGCTTTTTAAACAAAGGCATTTTGAGAGGTTTGGTGAATATGTCAGCAATTTGGTCTTCACTTCTGCAAAAGATAAGATTAATCACTTCATCTTTTGTAAGATCCCTTAAGAAGTGATACTTTACATCTATATGCTTGCTTCTTCCGTGCAAAACAGGATTTTTGGAAAGTTTAATTGCTGAACTGTTATCACAATAAATTAAAGTGGCTCCTTGTTGCTTGAACTGAAGTTCTTCAAGAATCTTCCTTAGCGAAATAGCTTGACATGCACATGAAGTTGCAGCTACGAATTCAGCTTCGGTTGTTGATAAAGTAACAACTGGTTATTTCTTTAAAAACCATGAGACAACTCCTGAACCTAGCACAAAAGCATACCCTGAAGTGCTTTTTCTATCATCTTGATCTCCAACATAATCACTGTCAGTGAAGCCAAACAAATCTGACTTTTCTCCCTTCTTGTAGAATAGCCTAAAATCAGCAGTACCTTGCAAGTAACGAAAAATCCTCTTTGTAGCTAGAAGATGCATCTCTTTTGGGCATTCCATGTACCTACTAATAAAACTTACAGCATGCATTATATCAGGTCTTGTTGCAGTCAAATACATCAAGCTTCCCACAATTTGCTTGTAAAGAGTGCTGTCTACCTTTCTTCCTTCAGGATCTTTAGTTAGCTTCAGACCAAACTGAGTTGGTGTGCTCACAGAATTGCAATTCTTCATCTGAAACCTATCTAAAATTTCTTGTACATATTTCTTTTGAGAAATAAAAATTCCAACAACAGATTGCTTCACTTCAATACCAAGAAAATACTGCATCATTCCAAGATCAGACATATCAAATTCAACCATCATGGACTGCTTAAAATTTTCAAACGCGGCATTATCATTTCTAGTGAAGATAAGATCATCAACATATAAGCACACAATGAGCAGTTTTCCTCCATCTCCAATCTTTGTAAAAAGTGTATGCTCATATGGACATTTTTGAAATCCCTCCTTAGAAAAATAAGGATCTATACGACTATACCAAGCTCTTGGAGCCTGTTTTAATCCATATAGTGCCCTTTTTAATTTATAGACCTTATATTCACTTCCAAGTTTCACATAACCAAGAGGTTGATCAATAAATACCTCTTCTTAAATTTCACCATGTAAGAATGATGATTTCACGTCCAATTGAAAGATGGGCCATGAGTTTTGAGCCGCCAATGCAATCACAAATCTGATTGTATCAAGTCGTGCAACAGGAGCAAAAACTTCTCTAAAATCCACACCAAACTCTTTTTTATATCCTTTAGCTACTAAATGTGCCTTGTACTTGTCAACTTCACCGTTCTCCTTTAATTTTGTCTTGTACACCCACTTGACACGAATTGTCTTGTGCCCTTTTGGAAGCTCCGTCAACTCCCAAGTGTTATTATTTTCAATGGTGACAATTTCAGCATCCATAGCCTTCCTTCACTTTGATTCTTTGATGGCATCTTCAAAACTTACTGGATCACAATCTGAAAATAGAGCAAAATGAGTGATGGGATCATCATTTTGATTAATTTCAAGTACCTCATAATCCTCCATCCATGTTGGCCTTTTTCTGTTACATTCAGGACGTATGCTAGTTGGTGTATTTGATTGTTCTCCGAATTGACCATCATTTGTTGCTACTGTTGGAGGGCTTTGAGGATCTACTGGAACATTTTGAGTGGTGGTTGGTTGCAGCACATTCTTCACAGGTTGTTACATTTTCTCATCACTGTCAAAATCTGCTAAAATATGTTGTCCAACACCGTTCTCGTTCCATAGCCAGGTTTGATCTTCATCAAAAACAACATCGCGACTGATTACAATTTTCTTGGTGCTAGGATTGTAAAGCTTATAAGCTTTTGATTGGTCACTAACACCAAGAAAAATGCATTTTTCTCCTTTGTCATCTAGCTTCTTCCTCTTCTCATTTGGAATATGGGCATAAGCAATATACCCAAAAATTCTGAAATTATCTACAGATGGTCTTCGTCCACTCCAAGTTTCCTCTGGAGTCATATTTTGAACAGCCAAAGTGGGACTTCTGTTCAAAATATGAATACTCCAATTAACTACTTTAGGCCAGAAATTTTTCGGAACGTTGCTCCTCATTAAAAGGCTTTGCACCATATTCATAATAGTGTGATTTTTCCTCTCAGAAACTCCATTTTACTGGGGCATGTACGCTATTGTAAGTTGCCTTTTGATTCCACGGAACTCATAAAAATTTGCAAATTCATGCGAGTTGTATTCTCCACCACGATTTGTGTGAAGAACTTTAATTGGACTTCCAACCTCTTTCTCAACCAGCGCTTTATAAATTTTAAAGGCTGCAAAAGCTTCAGATTTCTCCTGCAAAAAATATACCCAAATTTTCTGACTATAATCATCAATGAAGGTAATTATGTATCTCTTGCCTCCATTAGAAGATGGATTTATCGGCCCGCAAAGATTAGAATGAATCAGCTCCAATGGCTTCTTTGCTTTCCATGATTTTCCTTGTGAAAATTGATTACAGTGTTGTTTGCTAACAACGCATTCTTCACAAACTTAAGAGGGAGCTATAATTTGAGGAAGACCAGTAATCTTCAACCCAACAAAGTTTAAATGACCATAGCGAAAATGCCATAGCCATGCTGCATTCTTCAATTTTGTTGAGAAGCATGAATGAGTGGTGTTATGGAGATAAAGTGGAGACATCTAATTTGTCATCATATTGACTTGAGCTATTAAAGCCCAATTTTGCATCTTGAATTCGACATACTCCATCTTTGATAGAAATCTGGTATCCCTTTTCTTGCAGCTGTCCCACACTAAGCAAATTGGTCTTTAAATCTGGCACAAAAAGGACATTAGAGATAGTATGGATGGAATTTCCCTTGATTTGGATAGCTACCTTTCCTTTACCCATAACAGAGACTTTCGAATTATCTCCAAACTTCACATCATCACGGAAGGATTCATCCAAATCAGAGAATGTAGAATTGTTTCCACACATATGATTGCTACAGCCAGTATTGGTTTCCTCCTTTGCATGACAAACCATTAACAAGGATACTTCTTCTTCCTCTTCTACAAACTTTTCACCATGTTCTCTATTTAAATTTGTTCGACATTCAGATTTATAATGGTCATACCGATAGCATCTATAACATTCAACATTGGACTTGTTTGCTGACATTGGTCTGAAATTGGTTGAATGGTGACTACCTCGTCCTTGGTGGCTGCCTCATCCTTGGTTGTTTCCTCGTCCTCTTCCTCTCCATTGAGAACCATGAAATTGGTTATCTTCAGACTTTTGGTGTTGGAATTGTTGTTGGCTTCTTTGATCCTTGTTTCCTCTGGCTCCTCCTCTTCTTCGGCCTGCTGAGTTGGGGGCCGAAAATTTGTTGCTAGTTGTAACCTGCAATGCTTGCTCCTCCTTTTCTTGCTGTTTAAATTTTTGTTCATGAACCAACAACGAACCTTGCAGCTCATCAATTGAAAGATCATCAAGTTCCTTTGATTCTTTAATTGAACAAACCACATAGTTAAATTTTGACGTCAATGATCGAAGAATTTTTTCAATTACAGTTACGTCCTCTATCTTGTCTCCATGGATACGCATCTTGTTGACGATTGCCATCATTTGAGAAAAATAGTCTATGACCGACTCTCCCAATTTCATCTGAAGCATTTCGAACTCCGTATGAAGTGCTTGAAGCTGCTACCTCTTCGCCCTTACTGATCCCAGGTACTTCTTCTTCATGGAATCCCAAATTTGCTTGGAAGTTTCTTTACAAAGAATTGTTTCCAAGACTGACTGATCAATAGCTTGAAACAAGTAGTTCTTGGCCTTGAGATCCTTCAACCGCTGCCCTTCTATCTCCGTTTTCTGCGTTTCTGTCATTGCCGTGTCTGTTGCTGGTCCTATTATTCCATTTGAAACGACTTGCCAATACTCCTTAGATCTTAAGAAGTTCTCCATTAGCATGCTCCAATGGTCATAGTGACCAGTAAAACGTGGAATTGCAAAACTTTGATGAAATAGAAAAAATGAAGCTGCTGCTATTCTATCTCACGAACACTCTTTTTTTCTTTGTTTGGCACTCTCAACTTTACTTTTCCTACACTCTTAACCTCGCTTTGATACCACTGTTAATATATGTAGAAAGCAAAGAAGTAAAACTTGAGATATTTTATTCATCTAGGGAATAGCCTTTATATAGGCAATACAACCAGCTAACATAAAAGACACAATAACTATTACATGAAAAATAGGACCATGAAGCCATGTTCTACTAACGTGCTCCACTACTGGGTTACAACCTTAAGAATAGGTTAAATAAAACTAACTTATAACAACTTGCTATAAACTAGAACAATCAAATACTTACGTAAGTAAATTATTTCCAACATTGTGGTCCTATTTGTATTTGGCTTGATTCTATGAATGGTTCTTCTCTTTCTTTTTTCGTTTTCCAAATAAATGTTTTTCAATGAACTTGCTTCTAATTTTTAACCATTTTTATTTGCTTTTGTCCTGAGGAATGTTTGTTAATGTTCGTGAAAATATATGTCAAATGGATTCAAACACATCGTAAATGGATCAAAATTGTTATATACCTTTTTTTTTATTTATTTAAATGCTCAAATAAATCATGTGTAATGCACTACTGATCACATGAAGAGAACATCGAATCAAAAGTTCCGTTTAGTAGGAAGGAAAGAAGAGGGGCAGAAGGAAGATAGGAAGGAAGAAACAAAACTTTCTTCATTTGGTAGAGAGGATATAGGGATGGCAACCGGGGGGGGGGGGGGGGGGTTTGGGCGGGTGTACACCCCCCCAGCCCCGCAACCGTTTAGAAACTCCGCCCCATCCCTGCCCAAAACAGCAAAAATGGGGGAACTCTCTACCCCATCCCCGCCCCCGTTTAACATTTTTACCCCCGCGGATACCCGCCCCGCACCGTTTAAGACCAAAATTTCTCCTACATTTATTTTTTTTATCAACTAAAATTATATAATTATTGAACAAATTCATTAAAAAATGGAAAATAAATAGTTAATTCAATATTAAAAACATTCTATAACAACAATTTCATAAAAAATAACATACCAAAACCAGACAAGTCAAATTATATCGTTCTAATTTGGCTTCCAAAAGAGTTTTAATTAAAAAAAATAAAAATAAAAATAAAAAAAATAAAATAAAATAAAAAAAGGATAGTTCATTACATAGTGGCAAAAAAGTTATCAGAAAATTCAGATTTCAAAATAATCTTCTCATAAATTTCTTCAATGTCTCCATAGTTGCACAATTTCTTCAACATCCCCAAAAGAATCATATGCTGATGATTAATCTGCAGAAAACATCACTATTCACTAAAAAGTTCAAAATTAGCATGGAATATTAAAGTAGATTCTTATTAAAGTTGAAACAATACCTTGGATCAAATGACTTAAATACCCTTTTTCCGTTTTAATGGAATGTATTGAAATGTTTCAAGAAGTTGATCAAATGCATTTGGATCAAATGACTCAAATACCCCCAAATGCGTCATCTTAACAAGTTGATCAAATGACATTGTGGGCCCAAGAAGACAATTTTTAAATTATTATTATTATTATTTTTGGCAATGTTAGTATGTTTAGTGTGTTAGACAACTTTTAAAGTTAAGGAGCCATTTCATTTTTTTTTTTTTTTTTTTTGGGTAAATTTGATGTTTAGAAGATTTACATAAAAAAAATTTGAATTAATTATTATTTTTTAGCTCCAGCTATTATTGTACACCTTTTACGTAAAAATATATCTGTCAAAAACAAATAATACACGTGTCAACCCAAGACTCGTATAATTTTTACAAACCTACTTAACATAAAATTAATTCGATAATGGAATGAAAAATAGTGAGGAGATAAAATATGCCGATGTGGCTTGTGCAATATACATAATAATTTTACATATTTCTAAAATAAAAATGTATCTTAAACATACTTTTAGAAATAAAATAAAAAATAAAAAATTTATGTATTGTATATATTTTACACAAAATGATGTGTTGGGGATGTTAATGTTTATTTGAGATTACGACGCTTTTGAAGAAGTTGATTAAATGTGTGTGGATCAAATGACGCAAATGCCCAAATGACATTGTGGACCTAAAAAGACAACTTTTTAAGATGATAAAATGGGTCATTTTAAGAAGTTGATTAAAATGACATTGTGGGCCCAAGAAGACAACTTTGAAAGTTATGACACGTTTGAAGAAGTTGATCAAATGTGTGGATCAATTGACGCAAATGCCCAAATGACATTGGGGAAAAAGACAACTTTGAAAATGGATCATTTTAAGAAGTTGATCAAAATGACATTGTGGGCCCAAGAGCCAAGAAAACAACTTTGAAAGTTAATAATAATGGCTAGGGGAACAAGTATTTGGGCCTTCCAACGATTTTGGGTAGGTCAAAAGTTTCTGCTTTCAACTTCTTGAAGAAGAGAGTGAGTTCGAAAGTTAAAATTGTAAAAGGTGAGTTGCTCTCGAAAGCGGGTAGGGAGGCTTTGATAAAATCAGTTTTTGCCTCAGTCCCTACTTTTTCTATTGCCTGTTTTAAAATTTCTACTACCATTTGTGATCATTTGAGGAAAAAAAATCATGAATTTTTTGTGGTGTTGAAAGGAGGAAAGTTCTAAATTTAAGTGGATCAGTTGATTCAGTTAGGATTCTCTATGCAAGCTGAAATCCAAAGGAGGTTTGAATTTTAAAATTTTGGAATGGTTTAACTCTGGTTTACTCACCAAATTAGCTTGGAGATTCCATCAAGTGGATGACTCTCTCCTCTTCTCAGTTTTTAAGGCCAGGTATTTTAAAATAGGCTCATTTCTAGATTCTTTGTGTAATCCTGCTTCTTCTTGGGCATGGAAGAGTATCTGCTCGGTTAAGGAGGTGGTGTGTAATACCCCTATTTTAAAAGGACAGTCTCGGTATTATTTTAAGTGTTTTAATTGCAATTTTATTTATTTATTTGATTATTTGGTTATTTGATTACGTGTTTAATTGAATTAGTTAATTAAATATTTTATTTGCTTAAATGTTTTGTTTGACTTAACTGATAAGTTGAAAGTATGTGCTTGAATGTTATTTGAATTAGTTAATTTTAGCTGATGTGTTGTTTATTTTTTTTAATTAATTGTAGATTAAATATTTCTTTTGTTTTATTTTATTTTATGGTTATAGTTAGTAGTAATGGGCCAACCAATTAGGTCCCATGGCCTACTTGGATAAGGGATTGGATGGGTACGGATAATTACCCATGGATAGTTGTATATCTATATCTATATATATATATATATATATATAAGGAAATTAATTTATTAATTAATGTTATGGTAACATTCGTATTTATAAATAATCTAATGTATGTATTTTATATATTTATATAATAAGGATATACATAGATTATATACGTAACATTTTTTAGTTACCTTTTTAATATTTTATTTTTATTATTCTCTTTATTAAGTTGACTTGGTTTGAGAAAAGGAGTAGGATTATTATTTAACTTATAAATATATAACTATAGGTTAGTAAAAATGAGCTAGAAAATAAATCATGTAGTATATTTTGGAGGAAAAAGGTAGAGAGTTTAGAGAGAGAAAGAAGGAAGAGAAAAAGAAGAAGGAGGCTAGGAATTTTATTAAATCCCTAAAGGCAAGTTCTTGTTCTACACTTCTTCTTTAATCTGTGATCTATATGTCTCTAGAATAATTTTAGAGATGTTTAAAGAACAATTAAATTTGGAATCTATAATTAATTGATCTAGAACATAGGTTTTATGAATTTTTGTTCATAGTTATTCTTGTTATATAAATTGATAAATTCATGGATTTAATCTGTTTTCTTTATGAATTTTTACATGTTATATTTTGAAATTTCATGCTTGTGTGTTGATGGGACTTAATAACAAGCCTTAGAACCCTTAACAGTGAAGAATGGATTTATAGTAGGATTTCTAGGTTGATTTACGTTACAGTGCCCAATCCGTTGTTACAGTACTCGAGCTTTGGAAACACCATGAATGAAAAAGGACCGAAGTGAGAAAAAATGAACAACGGAAGAAACAGCGTTGAAAACCGAGCCCCGAGAAGAAAGATATGCCCCGAATAAGTCCGGCGGCAACCTGGGTCAGAAACCCTAAAACTGGGAAAAATGACCAAAAGACAATTCTAAGAGTACGTGACTTGATGAAAAGTGAAAATGAATCTCGTACGAGGATCCAAGCTTAAGACGAGGTATTTTGTAATAACTTTCATTAATTGCACAATGGCCCCTATTAAAAGGGATAACTGCAAAACCCCTTAAATAAATATCTTCAAAAGATATTTATAAAAAACACCTTAAGAAACAAAAATGTTTTTGAAGAATTCTTTCATCCACGCCCCTATGGGAAAAAGAAACAACCGGCGAGCTTTTCTCCAAAAGTAAAGTTACGCGTTTCGAGGAAATCAACTGGAATGAAAACTCGTGAAGTCAAAAATCAACTCCGAACATGAAAAGTGAGGTTATGCCAAAAAAATGACAACCGGAAAAAAGACAAATAGTGAATAGTGTCGTAAAAAGAAAATGTGAAAATGACGCGATCCTTACAAGGAAGTTGTCAATCCAAAGGAAGGAGTCTCAGAAACCATTCCCAAGCACTCAAGACAACACCAAGTGACAAGAAACTGAATTCAGAAAAGAAAAACCAACGGGAAAAAAATATCCGTAAAATCTTTTTAGAAAAAGAAAAGGAATGAAAATAACCGGGTCATTACAGTTGTATCTCTATCTAGCAGTATTCTAATCAGTGACCAATTTGAATCTAGTGAGAGAAGTGGGAAAGAAACAACATCCGATCTTCTATTTTAGTAAGACCATGACTGATGCAGAAAGCAGGTACTCGATGGCAAAAAAAGTCATCCTCGCTCTGGTCCAAGCAAAAAGGAAGCTTCGGCATTACTTCGAGGCTCATCGAATAACAGTCCCCACAACACATCCGATCAGAACAATTCTCAGTAAGCTAGATATTTCTGGCCACCGGATTACCAAATGGGAAATTGAGTTAAGCTCCTTCGACATTTGGTACGAACCACACACAGCAAAGAAGGGGCAAGTGGTTGCAGATTTTCTCTTGGATATTGATCCAGGAGGAGAATATCAAATCACAAAAAGCCCCTACTGGGAGTTATATATCGATGGCTCCTCGAGTCAGAACGGAGCTGGGGCAGGGTTGGAAATAAGAACCCCGAGGGGACCAAACTCTAACAATCAATCCGACTAGAATTCTCAACCACAAACAATGAAGCAGAATATGAGGCACTATTGGTAGGGCTCACATTGGCCAAAGCATAGTTGTCAAAGGCGCCGGAGGCGCGCGCCTGAGGCGCAAGGCGCCTCCAGGCGCCATCTCAGCGCCTCTAGAACCTTAAGGCGCATGGGTTGCAGAAGGCGAGCGCCTTTTCTCTACAAGCGCAAGGCTAAAGGCGATATAAAGGCGCGCCTGATGGAAGTTGTAATATTTTAACTGTTTTCTTTTGTAACTTTTGTTTGTTTATTGACTTTATTGATTTGTTTTATTATTTTATTGTTTCTATTTTATTACTTTTGTAACACATTGTTACCACATTAAAAAAACAAAAAACAAAAGGAGAACAAACACCAAAACAAAGAAGAGTCGGAGACAGAGGTCACAGAGGCGACGACTTGGACAACAGTTACTCTCGGTCTCGATCCTCACTCCTCTCGGATCTGTCATCTGTGTCGGATCTGCCGGATCTACGCCGTCGGCGACTCTGCCGGTACGTTCTCCAACTTCTCCTTCTCTCTCTTCTTCTTCTCTTCTTCTTCTCTCGTCTTCCTTCTCTTCTTCTTCTCTCCTTCTCTTCTCGGATCTATGATCTGTCTCAGTTTTTTTTTTTTTCTTTTCTTCTTTTCTTCTCTCGGCCGACTGTCGAGTCGAGTTTGGCAGTTTTTATTTTTATTTTTTATTATTCTTCTTTTTTTTCTCTATTTTTTTATTTTATTTTTTTTCTTGAGTCTGGACTCTATTCAAAGAAACTTTTTACTTTTTGATGCTCTCCTCATTTTTATAGATTAATTCATATATTAAGTTTTCTTTTATTTAGGAATTGATGACCAATTAAGATCACATGTTTTTTTTTTTTTTTTTTTTTTTTTTATGAAAAGAAATTGTTATATATGGATGGAATTGATGAAGGGGCCGGGGAGAGGAGAGTGGAGACTCTGGACTGTGACAAATTTATTATGTTGCTATTTTAATCTTAAAATAACAGTTGCTAAACTTGCTATTTTATTTTTTATTTTTTTTTGGATTGTTGTAGCCTGTATGTGACAGATAGAATGTAATTCTTTTTCTTGGTTACGGGTTACCCAAAAAAAAAAAATTTATTGAAATCAGAAGGTATTTAATTGATTTTCTTGTAAAATTTGCAGAGGAATACAAAGCTTCTAATATACAGAATTTACATAACACCAAAATACCAAATACAGAGAGATAGACTGATAGAGAGAAGAAGTTGTCCAGTTAACAACTAACACCAAATTGAAGTCAAATTTATTAACATCAAACTTAAGTTACTTAACACTGAAATACTGAATCCATAAAAATTAGCTCCAAACCGATCTATCAGCTCTCTCCACGTAGAGAGTGACTGTGAGTCTGTGACGGATCTATTTCCCAATTTGAGCCAACACATTCTGGCATTCTGCAGTTACTTTGCTTAATCACAATTGCAGCCAAATTGTATGCCTGTATTTGTTCCATTGAATCATTCTAACATGTTAAAATGAAATAATTAGTGAAGTGTACTCTAAAGTCTAAATTATAAAAGACAATCGCAAATTGTAAATAGCAACTGTTTACTGTTATATTATTTTCATATAATATAATTAGGTTCTATTATTGAAAGTATGTTTAGTTGTTATAGTTATAGAATGAATCATGGTGCTTATAGTTATAGAAAATTAGATTGATTTGCAGCTTACATAATTTCTATTGAACTTGATTGTAGTTTGAACTTTAAAAGATGCCTAGTGAAGGTTCAAGAAAGGATCCGGCATGGAATTACTCACATTTGGAGAATCCGAAAGATACAAATGCCGTCACTTGTAACTTCTGTGCAAAAGTTACAAAAGGAGGTATTTATCGGGCTAAGCAACACTTAGCTGGAGGATATAGAAATGTGAGTGCATGCACAAGATGCCCATCTAGTGTTAGAGAAGAAATCAAAGAGTACATGAGTAAGAAAAAGGAAGAAAAAGAACAAATGAATTTGTTACCTAGTGATGAGATTAATTTCATTGATGGAGAGGATGAGAATGATGTCATGGAAGTTAGCAATCGGGGAAAAAGGGTAGCTAGTGCAGGCAGTGCTAGTGTCAATTCCTCAAAGATGCAAAAGCAAAAGGGACCGATTGATTTATATTTCACTCCCAGACCGGAAATTGTGGTACAAAAAAGAAAGGAGGGGGGAAAACAAACAGCCATTAATGATGCATGCAAGAAAGAGTTGAGAGGAAGAGCGTGTGCTGCTTTTGCAAGGTGGATGTATGATGCAGGAATTGCATTCAATGCTGTTAAGTATGATAGCTTTGCCGAGGTTGTTGAAGCAATTGGACAATATGGTCCTGGCATGAAACCACCTAGTTATCATGAGGTGAGAGTTCCTTTGCTTAGGAAGGAATTGGATAATACCAATGCTTTGATGAATGACCATAGGGAGGAGTGGTCAAAATTTGGATGCTCAATAATGACAGATGGGTGGACAGACAAGAGAGGGAGAACATTGCTTAATTTCCTAGTAAATAGTCCAAGGGGAACCATGTTTATTGAGTCGATAGATACTTCTTCTTTTTCAAAGGATGGTGACAAGATGTTTGACTTACTTAATAAATTTGTGAACTGCATTGGAGTAGCAAATGTCGTCCAAGTCGTCACAGATAGTGAGTCAAGCAATAAGTATGCCGGTAAGAATGTTCAATGTTTATAACTTTTAGAGTTTACATTCTTTACAAATATATAATTGAATCAATTTTGATTTACTCATTCTCTTTATATCATTTTTTCTTTTTTCCGTTTGGTTTCAAATAGGGAAGACGTTAGAGAAAGAACACCCACATTTGTATTGGACCCCATGTGCTGCTCATTGCTTAGACTTGATGTTGGAAGACATTGGGAAAATACCGTCCATCTCTAGAACAATGCAGAGGGCAGTGGAGTTGAATAGTTATATTTATATGTGACCAAAGTTGTTGAACATTATGAGGAACTTTACTCACAAAAAGGAGTTGCTTAAGCCTGCTAAGACTCGATTTGCTTGTTTCATCACATTATCAAGTATTCACAAGCAAAAGAATAACTTGAGAAAGATGTTTACTTCAGAAGAATGGAATCGTAGTAAATGGGCGAAAGAGGAAGCCGGTAAAAGAGTTGCTTCTTATGTTTTGATGCCTTCCTTTTGGAACAACATTGTCTTTAGCCTTAAGGTTTCCGGTCCTCTTATTCCGGTTTTGAGATTAGTTGATGGCGAGAGAAAGCCTCCCATGGGATACATTTATGCGGCTATGGATAGGGCTAAAGAAGCCATTGCAAAATCATTTGGGGGAGTAGAAGATAAATACTTAGATATTTTTGAAATAATTGATAAGAGGTGGAATGTTCAACTTCATCGCCCTTTGCATGCAGCAGGTTATTATTTGAACCCAGAATACTTTTATTCAAATTCGAAAATTGAAGAAGATGAAGAGATTGCAAAGGGTTTGTATGCATGCATTGCAAGGTTAGTCCCGGATGTCAAAGACCAAGACAAAATTACTGAGGAGCTGTCCTTATATTCTAAAGCTGAGGGCCTCTTTGGTAATCCATTTGCTATTAGACAGAGAAGTACACGAGGACCAGGTAAAGTGGTAAAGTATATTAAGTTAGTATAGCTAAGTGTTAAAATTATTTTGACAATAGAGTCGATAGAAAGATGAAGCTAAAGTTGCTAAACATCATTATTAATTTTTTTTAATAGCTAATTGGTGGGAAGCTTATGGCAAGTCAACAAAACTTCTTCAAAAGTTTGCTATAAAGGTTTTAAGCCTTACTTGCAGCTCTTCTGGTTGTGAACGAAATTGGAGCGTGTTTGAGCATGTAAGTATATACTATTTACTAACTAGGTTTGTAATTTAATTGTTGAAAATTAAAATTTTAATTTTTTATACTTACTAGTTAAAGTTGAATTTATTGCAGCTTCATAACAAGAAAAGAAATAGGCTCGCTCAAACAACGTTGAATGATTTAGTGTTCATCAAATATAATAGAGCATTGAGGCGTCAATATAATATGCGTGACACTCTTGATGCCATTTTACTCGATGACATTGATGAGAGCAACGAGTGGTTGACGGGGAGGATGGATGATTCTGATGCAGAACATGATCTAGTCTATGAAGATGATTCCTTGACATGGGGTGATGTTGCTAATTTTGCTGGTATTGGAGAGGCAAGCAGGCCGCAACGGTCTACTAGATCAAAATCTAGTTCTAGTTCACAGTTACCAACAAATGGAGCAGGAAGTTCTTCAGTTCGACTTGTGGATGAGGATGAGGATGATTCAGATGAGATAGAAGAGGATCCTGAGAATTATGAATCATTTAGTGACGATCAAAATGATGTTATGCTTATTGATGACGAGGATGATATTTAGATTCATTGGTGTTGTCTTCTTAGGAAGAATGATGTTTATGTTTGTTTTAGTTTTATCTTATACTTCTCCTTAGTTGACTTTTGCATCTTTATGTTAATATGTTTGATTATTCACTGTTTTGAACTCAAGTACTTGATTTACTTGGTTTTGGCATCTTTATGTTGAATATTTAACTTAAGTAATTCATTTAGTTGACTTTTACATCTTTCTATATACTATTGCATGATTTGCATCTTTAATACTTTATTGGGTGGGTTTTGTTTTTTTTTTTTTCCAACGTGTGCCTTGCTTCAGTCGGGCGCGCGCCTCGGCTTGCGCCTTGCGCCTCAGGCTCCAGGAGGCATTTGCGCTTTTGTGCGCCTTGAGCCTTTAACAACTATGGGCCAAAGAGCTTCAAATAAAACATCTTCGAGCTCATAGTGACTCACAACTCATCACCAAACAGGTGAAAAGAGAATATATCCCCAAAGAAGAAAGAAGGTGTGCATACCGAGAAGAAATTGAAAAACTAGCAAAGTATTTCTACACAATTGAATTTCGGCAAATCCCAAGGGAAAAAAACCCGATCGCCGACCGCTTGGCTTGCGCGGCATCCATAGTAGACGAACCATTGATCAGAGTCATCCCAATTGATATTTTAGACACACCGAGTATCACAAGAGGGATACAAGTGCTAGTCATTCCATGGGAACCAAGCTAGATAGATCCTATTCTAGCATACCTCGAAAGAAGGGAACTTCCTAATTCCAAAGAAGCAGTTCAATAGCGAAGAATAAAGGTTACCAGGTACTCAGTTGTGAGACAGCAGCTCTTCAAGCGATCTCACTTAGGGCCCTACCTCAAATGCCTAACCCCCACAAAATCCAGGGAAGTTTTGAAGCAACTATATAAAGGAGAATGCGAAAATCACTTTGGGGGTAGATCACTAGCTCACAAAGCTTTGACTCAAGGTTACTACTGGCCCTACATGGCAAGAGAAGCCGAAGAGTGTTCTAAAAGATGCGACAAGTGTCAAAAGTATGCCCCCCTCGTCCATCAGCCCCCAGAAGAGATGCACACAATAAGTAGCCCTTGGCCATTCACTCAATGGGGAATAGATATGGTAGGACCTTTACCGCCAGCTGCATCACAGAAAAGGTACGTCCTACTAGCCACTGACTATTTAACTAAATGGGTCGAGGCGAAAGCATACGCAAGTGTAACTAACATTCAGGTAAGAAAATTCATTTAGAACAATCTTATATGCAGATTCGGAATACCAAAATCCATCATTATGGATAATGGTTCAAATTTGAATAATCAATACACTCAACGTTTCTTTGACAAATACAAAATCAGCCAAAAAATGTCAGCAGTGTACCACCTACAGGGCAATGGACAAGCAAAGATAACCAACAGAACAATATTTGTCTACATCAAAAAGAAGCTCGAGGATAAAAAAGAAAAATGGCTGGATAAATTGCCAAATGTTCTATGGGCATACAGAACTACTCCGAGATGCCCTACGAGTGAAACTCCTTTCTCTTTAGCCTACCGAACTAAAGCAGTAATTCCCACTGAAATAATAGCACCTACCATCCGAAGCCTAGCTTGGGAATAGAGATCAAATAATCAATTTCTAAAGCATAATCTGGATCTCTTGGAGGAGAAAAGAGAAGCAGTTGTTATTCGGCTAGCTGCGTATCAACAAAATATAGCAAACAACTACAACAAAAGAGTCAGATGTAGAGGTTTCAATCCAGGAGACCTGGTGCTTTTGAAATTAGAAAAGTATGTTGACAAATTGGAACCCAATTGGGAAGGGTCATGCTGAATCTCAGATGTGATTGGAAAAGGAGCTTACAGACTCCAACGCCTGGATGGCACTGAAATGGTCAAACTATGGAATGCGATGAATTTGAAAAGGTACTTTCAATAAAGTAATTGCATAATTTTTTCTAGTACTTTATTTTTGTGAATAAATAAAGTTATTTTTTGTCTTTTTCGGAAGTCCCACATCGAATAAACTCTTAATTGTTATTTAAGAAAAAATAACACAAAATGTAAACATTGGAGTGGACCATAGATAGTAGGTGACCCACAATAGGACCCACTCTCAGGGGTCTCAACTTCACACCTTTTTGTCTTATTGTAGAAAGACAAGACTATTTTATCCACAAATAACGATGTCCCACATCGTTTGAAAAATATACTTCTATGCTTTTCTTATAAGATTATTTGATTTACTTACAGATCAGTGGTGGGACCCCTTGATAACGGGAACCCATTTACGACATCGAAATGCCCCATTGTCAAAGTTCTCCACACACTCCCCACATCTTTTTCTTTTTCAAATAAAAGTTGTGTCCCTATTTTTAGAACCCAGGATCCCACATTGACTAAAAATGAATTATTTCCTTTGTAGTTAAAACGTAACCATTGGACTTCAACGTCAACGGGTTAACCGCCTTAATAATGGAAGCCCATTATAGACCTATTATTAAGGGAGATACCCGTTTTGACCACCAGAGACTGTTCCCACATCGAGACACTTCGATTATGATTGGACCTTCATAAGTCCCATTAATATATATATATGTATAAACATAGGCGAAAGCCCCAAGAGCCGAACGTCCAATCAGACTTAATAAAAAAACTAATCAAGTCTGAAATAGTCGAACGGCCGCAAGAGCCAATCGCAAAAATAGGCAAAGGCCCCAAGAGCCGAATGTCCAATCAGACTTGATCAAAAAATTGATCAAGTCCAAAAAAGCAGAATGGCCACAAGAGCCAATCGCAAAAATAAGTGAAGGCCCCAATAGTCAAACGCTCAATCAGACTTGATAAAAAAACTGATCAAGTCCAAAAAAGCCGAACGGCCACAAGAGCCAATCGCAAAAATAGGCGAAGACCCCAAGAGCCGAACGTCCAATCAGACTTGATCAAAAAATTGATCAAGTCCAAAAAAGCCGAATGGCCACAAGAGCCGATCGCAAAAATAAGCGAAGGCCCCAAAAGCCAAATGCCCAATTAGACTTGATAAAAAAACTGATTAAGTTCAAAAAAGCTGAACGGACATAAGAGTCGATCACAAAAATAGGCGAAGGTCCTAGGAGCCAAACGCCTAATCAGACTTATCAAAAAACTGATCAAGTCCCAAAAAAAAAAAAAAAAAAAAAAAAAAAAAAAAAAAAAAAAAACCAAACGGCCACAAAAGTAGGCGAAGGCCACAAGAGCCGATCGCAAAAATAAGTGAAGGCCCCAAGAGCCGAGCGCCCAATCAGACTTGATAAAAAAACTGATTAAGCCCAAAAAAATCGAATGGCCACAAGAGCTGATCGCAAAAGTAGGCGAAGGCCCCAAAAGCCGATCGCAAAAATAGGCAAAGGCCCCAAGAGCCAAACGCCCAATCAAACTTGATCAAAAAACTGATCAAGCAAAAAAAAAGCCGATCTGTGGCTTTCCAAATTTTCAAAAACCCGGATATGTCAATGTGACCCAAAAGTTGACCCGATAACGGATCCGGAATGCGGAAGAAAAAACAAAAACAAAGTCTATGGAGATATTCGGTATCTTTAAGATGCCATGGTAACTTTCTATGAAGTCACGGAAACAAAAGAAAACAAATACGGAAGCAAAAACGTGAAAATAAATCAAGTATGCCTCTAAGGGCAAAATGGTCATTTCACATGAAAATAAAGTTTCAAGGGATGTACGTCATCCCTAAGACACAAACATGACTTCTCATGAAGTCATGGAACTTAAAGGAAAATAAAATGCGAAAGCGACGTTTTAAAAACGGATAAGTTTAACCCTAGGGGTAAAATGATAATTTTAAGAAAGTTATGGGTGCAACCGAGCACACCATTAGATAGACAATAAAAAATTAACGAAAATAGACTCAAGAATCACTTGATTTGGAGTCCGGACAGGAGAGAATGACCAAAAACAAAAATGAGCATCGCCGCGACCAAGGGGCACCAGGGCTAACCCCCATGCGCGCGCCGCGCGCAAGGGCGTGCACATGGGGATTGGCACAATGCTTACTCTTATGATAAAGGCATGATCTGTAGTTATTTGAAAACTGCTTTTGTTATTGTAGACATAAAAATTTTAGTGGGCTTTGGTTTTGACAAATTAACCCATCAAATATAGGTTTAATGTTTAATTAAGTTATTTAACTGGCCCAAGCTTGGTCCACTTAAATTATTTAATTAGCCCAGCTTAAATGATTACGTGAAAAGATAATTATTCCTAATAAAATATATTTAGAATAATTATTTTTAAGGATAATTATTATAATATAACCGGCCTGGCCCAGTTATAAATTTATCCTTATCAGGAGAGGACACGTGTCATCATCCTATTAATCCAAGAAGCCTATAAATAGAGGCCTGGAGGAAGGGGAAAGGGGAGAATTCAGAATTTAGAATTCAGAGACTCAAAAATCCAGAGACTCAAAAATCTAGACAAATTCAAAATTTAGAAATCCAGAATTCCGAAGATAAATACAGAAACTCTCATCCCATCCCCAACGTCCAAACCTGAAGGCGAAGAACACCAAGCACATCAAACCGTGCCATTCTTCATCAAATTCCACAGTGATCAACAACAAGCACATCCAAAGACGTGTCATTTTTCATCCAAATTCCACGGTGATTCAAGATCAAGCTCGTGTAGCCTTTGGATCCAACCAACCAAAAAGGAGATCGAATCAGAGGACCTTATGCTTCCACAGCTATTGAGGTATGACAGTCCAGTATCTCTGAAGCTTCCATATTATATATGGATAGGAAATCCTATAAAGGTTCTCCCTTCTTTTACCTGATAGTGAACAAGCTAGCGATAGTCTTCTTCTGTTTCTTATTGTCACAGTATTGTGCCAAGAATATAGTGCACAGAGTTTTATAGTTCGAGATCGATTTGTGTGGTCTATTTTTGAACCACTCTAGTGCTGCTCCTGTCAGGCTGGTTGGGAATGCTTTGCACATGAGTGCATCATTGTGGTTATCCATGGCCATCTTCTGGGAGTAGTGATCGAGGTGTTGGGAAGGATCTCTAGTACCGTTGAACTGTGTGAAGGCTGGCATGGTAAATTTTCAAGGTCTTTCGACATAGTAGATCTCATCGGTGTAATTGATGGACCTTAATCACAAATCCTTATTTGTAGTAGGCCACGTGTTGAGCCGGAGATGCAGATTTGACTGGCCCATAAGTGGGCAGAGAGACAAATGATGACTCCTTTGGGCTTATCAAGTTGGGCCTTGGAGGTTGGGTAACCCAAGAGAAGTAGTGCAAAACCCATTTGCTGACGTGGTTGATTTTAGGGAAAACTACATATAAGTAGTATTAAGAGCTTTAAATAACAAATTGATCAATTTTAAAAGTTAATTTTCTATTTTGATTGGATTAAGCAAAATAATTACAAATGCATCAATTTTCTATTTGCGTGCGTGTATTAGTAGTGGTTTCATGTTGAGTATTGCTAGTTGCATTTCATACACTGGTTGAGTAACTTGGGGAAATTGCTTTGCATTGACAAGTTATGAGGCACAGCGTAAAATGGCTGTTCTTATTTTTGATTGTTTGTGGTTGCATTTGTGTCCATGAATGGAGGTAATGATTCTAATGAAGCAGATGACATTCATAAGAATGAATCCATTCTAAGGACTTTTGTGCATAGCATCAAAATGCAATTCGCTTGTTAATGGGTATCGCATGTTCTTCGTTAGCGTCTAGTACCTTTGAGGTTCATGTAGTTCCAAATCAAAGCGATTAAGTTATTTTATGGACGAGCATTTCTGTCATTTTGTTGTCAAAAAGTAAGGTAGAATTGCTCGAGTACTTTTGGCTATTCTGCTATTACAGCTAATGATGGTTTCTCTTCACAAGGGAAGAGGACTTAATGGAGTAGGTTTAGCCTGTAGGACTGGTGGTCCATCACCTATGTTCATGTATCAGAGGCTGTTAATTTGCATTTTAAAACTTTAAATGTTTGATTGATGAAAAGCAACTGTAGTTCATGGAGCTTTACTGGAAACAAATTATCACCAGTATGCTGATGGATATTTCTGCGCATATAGTCAAGACATTTTATTTAATTTTTATGTCTCATATATTTTTCAAGGCTGGACTATTTAAAAAGTTGCGTTTATGTCAGGTCCGAATCATGAATAATTTTTGCCGAATTTTATTATATAGTCTTTTAGCTGACTCTTTTGAAAATACAATAAGTTAAATGATTTAGGCACTAGGAGTCTATGCCCCCTCAATCCGCCTTTTTCTTTTTCCATTCTTCTCCTCAACAATAATATGGTTAATAATTGCGAATCACTTAATTGTGATGGAAATGTTGAGAGGTACATTGCCTATTTCGGCAGTTTAACTCATTGGTACAAGTTCGAGTCTTAGAGCAGCCACTTTGTGAAATACCAAATCTTAGGATTGTCTTGAGTCCCCCCTCCTAAAGACCTTGTTGTGGTAGGACCAAAATTGGATAATGTCCTTTGTCACAGAGTGTTGAATAATTTTTGGATGTCCAATCTATGTGACATACACTGAGGTATGTGGTGATGCTCTCCCCTTGGTGTGCACAAAATAATGCACAACACCTTGAGTTTGGAAATTAGTGTCAAGTGGGCATCATAGTTAAATTTATAAACCACTTAACACCTATACTCTGTAGTATGAGTGAGAAGGGGTCGTCCCAAGGGATTGGAGTCGTACTTGAATGTGAAAATGCAACTAGGGTTTCTAGGTCGAGTGATCAGCAAATGGTTGGTTGGTTAAGTAAACTAGAGAGCAACTAAATTAAACTAAGTGATTGAATGTAACAAGAGTAAGCAAAAGAGAGAGAGATCTTGGGGTTTAGAGGTCATCACCAAGCAATGCTTTTCTACACTTCCAACTAGTGACTAATGAGGGTAAAGTGTGTTGCAATATTTGTGTGTATGTGCTTGGTTGATTCAATTAGCAGGGGTGACCAATTTAAGCATACATTGTCTAATCAACATGTGAAAAGCACAATACATATAGCAATTAAGTATATATTGTCTAAATGGCATGTGAGAAGCACAACATATCTAGCAAGTCATTAATCCTTTCATTAAGTTCACAAGCCAAATACACCACAAGGTTAAAGACATATGCTACTTGTATTCAAAAGTATGGAACATCAAACAACTAGCATGGATTGTCCTCTCATCTAACAATTATGCTAACACTACACTACAATTAAACTAGTGGCATGAAATTAAACTAACTAAGCTAAGGGAGAGGCATAATCCATCAAGAAGTAAGCATGGACCATCTAGAAAATCACAAGAGCATTCTTTTAAGCACAATGTTTTTACAATCTCTAAATCTATAGCATCAATACACATAGATATGCATTAATAACACAAAATCTAGAGATAAGCACATGAACATCTATTCTAGCATACATAGACATATAGATAGAATGAAATAACCAATTGGAAGCATTAAACTACATAAATCATTGAATAAACAAGATCTATATATATCAAAGTGTCAAAACATCAATTACAACACTAATTCCTCAATAATACACAAGATTAAGATATAGAAAGCATGCTTGGGGCTAACTCTAGCCCCAAGAGGATGTCTAGCCCCTCATGGTGATGATGCTCTAACCCTCAAGGGCTAATTCCATGGAAGAGGTTTGCTCCTTGTTGACGAAGATCTCCAATGGTGTCTCTAGCCTCTTCCTCCTCTAAGCTTCCTCTCCAAGAGATGATATGAATATAAATGTTGGCTCCCCTCTCCATCTATCCATCTATCTATATCCTTACTAAAAAGCAATCCTTATCCTTATATAGGTGGGTTAAAATCACTCCCCAAATGAGCTAGGGTCGTGCACACAATATTCTCCAATGATTGGATAAAGGACAACTTTCAATGAGCTGGAATTTTAACTTTTTGCACTTGGAGAAAGTTCGATCGATCAAACCTTGGACTTGGATTGATCGAACTGGCTGAGATCGATCAAACTGAGGCTGGATCGATCCAACTGGCTGAGCTTTTTGGGAAAAGACAAATCCGAGATATTTTGGGAGATATTTTTGGGAAAAGGACAAAAGGTGGTTAGTGGGTGGACAGCTATGGATAAGATCAATCATTTGGATAAGGACAAAGGTGTTCGATCGATAGAATGATGTTGGATCGATCGAACTTTTAGACTTAAGT